AGTCAGTTAAAATTTATTTATAAATAATATACTTCTGCTGCATACACGGCATTATCACATCGCCTTTTATTCTTACGGGCGCTACAGGGTCATTTATGCAGTCTGCGGTTCGTGATACGTAAACTCATAAGTTCCAGGCTGCACTGATGAGCACAATTAATTTAAGTTATCGTTACTGTTACCCGGCGTGTTTTATAGCTGAGAGCTTTCAGGCATTGCTGGCATTGGTCACACACGTTACTCTACTGCCGGCTTAAAGAACAGCATTAACTGTGTTCAGCCATTTGTTGTCTACACAAATGCAGGTGTTGTAGCAGTGGCACATAATGGTGAACTGGTCAAAGCTGAAGCTATTCGTTCGAAGGTATTATACCGTGCCATAAGGTATATGTGCTTTTCTCTAAGTCTAGGCGAATAAAAAGTGTTTATGATCATTAGTATGTAGCGTTCCCATTAAAGGCAATGACAGACGTTCTTTGTGATACTGTTTTTCAACGGCGCATATAACAAAAGATCCGCACTGTATTGCCATCAGCGGGGAGTATTTCGTTTCCTTTAAGTTGTCGTTAATATCTGTAGCTATGTAGAAATGAAAGCGTTTAGTGCTTTACTTTCTCCCCTCAAAGTGATGCTCACTTACTGGCGTCAGAAAGATAAAAGATGATTAGTCTGACTGCAATTCGATCCTTCGATCTTTCGACTGCGAATCTGACCCGCTATCTACAGAGCTACTTCGGCCGAATTGTTCAGAGAATCATTTAAAAGCTCACACTTGAACGGTTTAATGCCTTATCATACAGGCCTTAAAGTAAAGAGGCAGAATTTCAGTAGCTCACCTTCATGGATTTCGATGGAAAAGTGATGCCACTTTTTCACCTGTAGGACCCAACATCAGAAAATTTAATACTGTGCAGTGGATTGTTCAGAAAATAAACAGTCCAGTTAAAGTTTCATTGCATTTTTCTCGATATTTTATGCTCTTCAGGAAAGAATAGGTGAAGTTCTGCCCGTTTTCTTATGCCACTCTTGCCCGAAGATCTTTGTAATTTCAGAGCTAATGATGGATTTGTTTTTACCTGTTTCAACGAAACTCTGTTGCGGATTTGTTCTTGTACTGCTAAAGATTTTGAGCAGGAATTGATCTAAGTCTAGAGAATTCAATCCTGAAACTCTAGATTTTCGGCAAACAATTCTTATTTTAAAAATGAGAGATGAATTAAATTTCTGTAGAGTCTTGTAGTGTCGCTTGTACAACTAAATAAATGGAAATCAAGGTTACACCTCGGGCTGATTATTATACCGGATAGTCAGCTTTCAGGTGCGTCAGAAGGAACTGCATCCACAGGCGGCACGCGACAGTATGGTTATGCACTTCGTCCATTATGACATAACCAGGCCAGAATACCTTGCTGTCCCAATTATTCGTTAAGCGCCAGACTTATTATCCACTTCTCGGCTGCTTGCGTTTATGCAGCATGGGTTAATTTCTTGCTCAGTGAAATTCACGTAGGGGTAAAGAGTTTTCTTGAGCATAAGAAAATTTTCCCGCTACCTCCGTTGTTCAAGTCTGGTCTCTTTGCATTTTTCTGTCTTGCTGTTTTAAACTGTAGTTTTAAAGAACGTTAACGTAATAGTCGTTTTTTCGCATGTGCTATGATAGATGACGCTTATAGGTGCTGAAATCTGGTGTGGGTTTGTCCACAGATACAGACAGTGAGCTTATTGCACAGTTTATTGCATCAGCCGATGAACTGCCCGATGGATCACCGTCTTCTTGGATCTCCAGGATTCGTTACATGATGAAAAATGTCACTTGTTCTTACTCCCTGATTGTGATGGTGCGAGATCGCATTTTCGCGGTACGAGATCCTTGGGGAAATCGACCACTTTGTATTGGAACTTTGCGAGGTAGCTTCTTTTTTACGTATGCTATGCTAATTTAACGTAATTTTTTCACATTAAGACGGAGATAAAACATCTGCTTGGTTCGTCTCTTCGGAGTCATGTGCTTTTCCGGCCGTTGGTGCTACGCTGCTGCGCACTGTACATCCAGGTGAAATCGTGGAGCTAACATCGTCAGGCATAGGCGAAAGCATTTTAGTGGAGAGGCCGAGCACTCAGCCGGCTGTCTTCTGCATCTTCGAATATATTTACTTTTCGCGCGCCGATTCAGTTCTAGAAGGTATTAAAAGTTTATAAACTGTCAGGTTTTTTCATTGTGCTAGGTTATGAATGCTAGGTTGGTTGTCAGTTTATTTACATTAAAAGCATAGTGTTTTTGATTGATTCTTGAAAAACGATGAAATATTCTCTAATTTCCTTGCTTAACGGGCAGTCCCGCATCTGGTCTGATGAAGTCGAATTAGGAAAGGGCAGTAGGACGATGACCTACGATGTATTTTGGAACAGCATATTACATTGGTCCACAGGAATTGAATGTTGTACGATTTATTGGGTTCTTGCTCTTCAGTGATTGTTTCTTAAATGTTCAGTATCTGCAAATGCTTCTTGACCCTTCTGGTAACTGATCAAACTGTTAAGGTTTGAAGTGGGTCAGTGCTGGTATAGACGTATGTATAGACGGATTTTGCAATGTACCATGCATCGCAATTTATATCTTGTTAAAGTTTTATTTTGAAGGTTCTAATTCGCCTGATCGTGCGAGCACCGTAGTATAAAGAATAAAGATTTTATTAAAGCTGCACATGAATAGAGTCACGTAAGCGTGTCATATTTTCACTAGGTCTTCTAGGACTCATCGACAAATGGCACACAAACTAAATGTATGTTTCAGCAGTTGAAAAGAGCAGAGGCGAATCGATCATGGTTCTCTTTGGGAGTGCTTATATGTTTTTGTTGTTTATAGCACGCCATTTATTTTGCAGGAAGTAATAGTTGAACTAAAAGAAACTAGCAACTTTCTGGCAAAATTGCCGTATTCACCCTGTTAAATGAAGTCGCATGAACGAGAGAGATAAATCGTCTTTGGTATATGAATCTTATAGGTATTCCTGTTTCGTTTGATAATGTAGTCAAGCAAACAGCGACATAACATGGAAAGAGGGGTTTGACGTTGGAGATACTCTAACAAAGCTGCTTTTTATGGTCAGTATACTCAGAAGCAGAAGATTGATGTTATTTAAATATTCGTGACGAGCAGTTGTCCAGAAAGTCACACTATTTTTGGAATCCTTAAAGAGTGAGAATAGTCGCCACTGAAAGATTTTTAAATTGCATAGTTAAGGACGGTTATTAATCATTTAATTAAAACGTAATTACGCTATTTTATTATGTGCTGTCGTTACTATACTGCATTTTTCACATATAACTGAATTCTATAAGCATTGAAGTAATTTTTTTAAGACCAGCAAGTTTATCGAGTCAGGTTTCGTTGTGGTGAGCAGTTGGCATTGGAAAGCCCCGTCGATGCTGAAATTGTTAGCACGGTTCCGACTAGCGCAATCCCGGCAGCTCTTGGATACTCTAAACAAGTTAGTAACTGAATACTTGGCTCAACCATATGTTGCTAATTGAAAGGGGTATCTTCATTATGAAATGGGTAATGAACAGTTGCCTCACAAAGTTATGCTACCGTTTTGCAAGCACAAAATCATTTTTGCAAATCCCTTAAAAGCTTGACTAATCTTGGAATTCATCGACTCTATGTTTCGCATTCAAAACTACTGTTGCGTTTATCATATGCAAAAGATTTATGGGTCTGTCTTAGAACAGTAGCTGCTCGCGTGACTACTCATCGCTTGACTCAGAAGTCCTCAAAGTCGCCTTTTTCGTTATGAAAATGAAGACCAGCGCTTAGTTAGTTCGAGTTCATTTGCTTCCAAAGATGAACATAGAGTGTGCTCCTGTTTTCACCGTTAACCAGATGAGCAGATTCTTCTCACGGCTGAAATCTCACTTTTTTGCTTACCCTGACAGAATTATACCATTCGCGTTAGGTTGTTCCTAAAATGATCTGTTTTTGCTACTTTGTTTTACGCAGTTGTCAAGACGGTTGTCTTACAGTCGAATGAAGAGTTTTCAGAATTGCTCCAATTCCTAAAATTCAACATTCTGTAGCACCCAGAGTCTACCGCCCCATTGCTATATTTACTCTACTGAATGCAATGAAAATGATACCATTCTGTTTCGTAGAAGACGTATCTCTATTGCTGGGAGTGTCTGTCAATCCGCCGCAGAAACTATTCGGCACTGAT